AAATAAATAAATAAATTAAAAAAAAAAAAGAAGAAGAGATGCGTAATCAGAGACAAAATAAAGACTAATTTAAGCACACTCCCATTTCCCTATTGTTTATACTTAACCAGATTAATTTTAATGAAAGCCACCCAGTGGCTCTTGCATAAGGACAACAAAGAGCTGAATGGGAAGAGGTATCAAAGGTCATTTGTCAGTGCCCAGTATTAATCAGAAATGACACATGGATTTCAGATTTCTTCCAGTTCTGACTTATTGGTAGTGGCCTCCTAAAGACTGTGTTGATAAGGATTTTTAAAACTGCACCTGGGTTCAGGGGAAGCTCACTGTAATTGATTATCAATGTCTGCGTAGGGCATGGATTAGGAAATGTTTATCTACCTGACAAATATTTCTGATCCCTAATATCAGTCCTAGGTTGGTCTGCTTTTTGTTCAAATTCTGGGGAGCTATCTGCTACATATGGATGATCAAAATGTTGGTTTATAGTCCAAACCCTTCTAGAAATACTCCTGAGACATATTCTTCCTGTCTTCTTCCTACCTCTGGTTGCAGGGCCAATGCCTTGGTCCTGCCTTGTAAGGTCTCTGGCTACAACCTTGGAGTTAACACTTCATTCAGACCTTCTGAGTCTAGGCTTTGTCTTTGTGAATAATGACTTTCTTATCTCCTGGTTCCTTGATGTCTGCACTTCCTAGTTGCTTGAGATGAGAGTTAATATATTCCTAAAGGCTCTAAAACTAGAGATCAGGAAATATTTAAATGACATATTTTGTAGATTAGGAAGAAAATGCTCAGGTAGTTTTAAGAAGCATGCTTGTTTTGCACTGATAAACTTCCAGCATGCTTGTTACAAAATCCAGGATTCAATGGCCACCCTATTGCCCTATTGAACCAGTCAGGAGGAGCAGATATGGAATATTTTTAAAATCAAGTTCCAATGGGGATTATCAGAGACACAATTTTTAGAACCATGGGGTTAAGAACCCTGAGCTGGTTCAGAGATTGCTAACAGTAACCTTATTTCTGTCATCTAGTGAAATAATTCAATAAAAAACAAAGAATTCGATTATTTAAGTGTTGTAATCCATGCTGTTCTATTCAGCTGTACGCAGAAGAATGGCCTGTGGGTGGCATTATAGAAGACACACACTCCTTCCTGTATGCAACTACTCTTTTTTCATATTTTCCTCTGAGCAGAAAATGCCTCAGTCCTTTACTTTCTCCTGTTCTTATCAACCTCCTACCTAAACAAACACATACATACAGATGGGAAGACCTCTGAGACCCTCCGACTCCTCTCATGTTATATCAAGATCTACTTTGTCTTTACTTTGTCTTTGCAGAGCTAAGTGGTGTAGAGCTTATCTCCTCATCCATGTGTAAAAAAATGATACACTGGTTTACCTAGAAAGTTCTGACAACAACTGGCTAAAAAAATCTGGATAATCATAGCATCTTCAGGATTTCTCAGATTTTGGGAGGGTGGCTTATGTCCTTCCTACCTGAAGCATGCTCTTTTCCAGGTTGCATGCAAAAAAGATAGATAAGCCACAAACCAAGCCTTTGTGTTCTTGGAAAGTAATCTAGTCCTCTAACAGCTCTTACCGGTATATAGCCATGGGACATTACCACACTTCACTAACCAGCTAACTCCTACCTTGCTATTACTCAACTATTTGCAGGGTTTCCTTGAATCATTTCAGTCATCTAAATAGAATTCTTAAAATCAAGGATTGTTCTCTTATGGCTAAAGTTTACCTCTTCCATCCCTGACCATTTTGCATGATCCCCATTCTAAAAATCACAGGATTAGCAACAATAAAACAAGATAACTGTAATCTCCTGCATCCTTCACAAAAGCAAAAATATACTGAGGGGTGATGTTTCATAAGAAAACAAACATTTCTCATCCTTTATGCTGTGCTAACAAACTCAAGTGCTAAGAAGTTTCACAAAGATATCCCTAGCATAATCAGAATGGAACTCAATTTCCTAAGACAGTAAATAGTTATTACTGAACTCACTGCCTAATCTTTTTTTTTCCTCTTACAATGGAATTCTTCCACTTAAAACACTCAAATTGTTTGATCTAAACAAAAAATGTAAGGGCTGTGATTCTGAATATTGCTAGCTTGGCAATGATGCCTTTTTCTGTTATCTCTGTTGCATTTGGCAATTTGCCACTTTCCACAATTTAAATTCCATGGTTTCATGTACAAAAACTATTTTTAACTTACCACTCATGCTTCTGTAGCCATATGCCTATCTTTAAGATGTGTGAATTTCCATATAAAATTTACTGTTCCCATTTGGCAATTTAGTACCTTTAATTGTGCCAATCAACCATGTAAAACATCATAACCTACCGAGAATATATGAAGAAAAAATACATTTCTTCGCAATCTAGGATACCAAGCACACTACTTAAAGACAGCTTAATTTTTCCTGTGGTTCAGTTCTACCAGCTCAAGGCCTTGTAGAACAAGTGGAATCACTGAATTCAATTCCTGAAACCCGGTATCATTTTCAGGTTTTTAAGCAAGTCAATTATACACTTGACCTTACTGAAAAGATTCATAGTCATGACTAGAAATGGCTAGAAATGACAAATGAAATGGTAGACCCTTGCAGTGTCAAATATCATTACACCAAGGCCCATCTTTAAGACAGCTGCAGGTGTTCCTGTCTTTTGCATTCTCCAAGAATAAATTTACAAGAAAAGGATTTAATGTTTTTAGCCTGTTACATAAGCAATTGTGTTTGTTTTAATAAAAAAAAATTATTATCTTCATAGGCTTTGATGATACACATCATTTCCCATAAAAAGTTCAATGGTTATCAACTTACCAGTATACATTTGGGAAATTCTTTTTCTTTTCTCTCTATTGCATTTCACTACCCTAACTCATATTTTACTATTCCCCTGGCCCAGGGATAGATGGAAGCAATAAAATGCAATTCAAGTTGGTTTCACAGACAGTAAACATGCATTATGAATTTGAAACATACTGTTGGAAACATACTATGCTCGTTGAACATATATTTTAGAACTTCCTCTAAGACACTTTATGACTAAAACCATATCTGGAACCACTCACTGTCCTTGGTTGCAGAATTCTTTGTGGTTTTATAACATATGCATTTAAAAAAAAAAGAAAAAAGAAACAAGAAAGCCCCCAAACCCACACAGTCCAAACTGATATATTTCACCTAAACTGTTTGATTCAGAAGATATCTCTTCAGGTGGAACACCAAATGTCATTAATTATAGGATTCTATGAGAATAGAAGCAACAAAGAAAAATTCAGATTCGACTAATTCCTAGAGGCACAGATTAGTGAATTTGTAGAGATTTCTACTTCAGTCCTTGCTTTCTTCATGCAGAGCACTAAGTCCTTGAATGTTTTATGGACTTCTCCAAAGTAACATGGAATCAGGCTAGACTCCCTGTGTTCTAACCTCTAATCAAGCCATAAGTGTACTCTCTCTGATACAGCACACCAGTTAGCGCTCTAGGTCTTGGTTCTGGTTTTAGTTGTACTGCCCTGCCAAAGCTGACTTTACTGAATGAAGGACAATGCATCTTATTAAGACCAACATATTAAAACTGCCTAATTTGCATATCTACAAAACCATATCCAGGTGAGTATAAAAGTCAGATGTGTATGAATCTCATCTAAAATCAACGCTTTAGTTTTGCCTAATTTGCATGCCTGTCAAATCCATAGCTAGACATGCATTCATAGCCTTAGGATTCAACACATTAGGGCTGCCTAACTTACAGATTCATACAAATGCATAACTATATGTGGAGAACATGTATACTAACTATATCTGGGACAACATATTAAGGCTTACCAATTCTGAACTTCCATAGCTTGACGACACTTGCTCTACTATATACTGTCCCTCCCACTGCTAGAAAGTTGAGTCTCTGGTAACTCTCTGAATCATTTGATGCAATTAATGTATATCTAGTTTTAGGGAGCTGAGGGTGGAATGACAACCAAAACTTCCCTATATTCATCTATGATACACACACATATATATGTGATATGCAAATGAAAAATATGCAAATGGACAACTCATACATGGTGTTGCTCACACACTAGATCCAATCCACAGCGACAGCCTAGATGGTCACTAAGACAGAGAGGGAGCTAGTAATCACCATCCCCATCCTAATGAAGGACTGTGGCCTTTTTCCCCTATCCCAAGGAAACATACGTATAAGAGGAGAGGGTGTGTAACGAATGCATTGGAAGGTTTAATTTGGACAGATCACACAATTTTATACTGGATAATCTCTCGCTACGATGAGTAGTTCTATCATAAATTAACATGAAAAATTTACCTTTGGTTGGTTTCCAGTGATATAAACATGGCACAATTCCCTGCAGTTTTTAGATTTCTATAGAATTGATGCCTAATAATTCAGGATATAAAAGTTCTCGTTCTATATAATCAATTCGGTTCCAGTATTTACAAAAACAAACATATTTCCGAGATGAAAAGTGCGGTGTGCATTTTCACTTACCTTTTCCGCTGACTGCGCAGTGCCAAAAAAAATGGGAATGAAGGCAAGCCACACTATACATGTCGTGTACATAGTGAATCCAATGGGTTTGGCTTCATTAAAATTCTCTGGGACACCCCGAGTCTTGATGGCATACACAGTACATGTGACCATGAGAAGAATGCTATATCCCAAGGAGCAGATGATTTGGAGATCTGTAATGTCACATTTGAGAACTCCCCTGGCCTGCTCAGGGTTCATTGTCTTATGTTCATCATAGTCTATGATGATGTTGGGTGGGTCAACACCAAACCAAATGAAAACACCTAGAAGCTGAACTGATATTAAACTGGAAGTGATGGCCAGCTGTGATGTCGGGCTTATGAGTCTGGGAGCTGTAACTGATTTCTTGCCTTGCTCAAATATGCGATAAATCCGATTGGTTTTTGTCAAGAGGGCTGCATAACTGATGCACATACCCAAGCCCAAGAAAACTCTCCGGAAAGAACACACTGCCACATCAGGTTTGGCTATCATCAGGAAAGTGATAATGTAGCAAAGAAAGATGCCAGTCAACAAAACGTAGCTCAGTTCCCGCCCAGATGCCCGGACAATGGGTGTGTCATTGTAGCGGATGAAAGTGGCCATGACAAAGATGGTGGCAATGATTCCCAACATTGCTAGGAAGACAGGGATTACAGCCCAGGGGGAATGCCATTCTAGTTTGATGATGGGGATATCCTGGCAGCCAGTTCGATTTTCATTGGGCCTCTGGTCATAGGGGCAATGTTGGCATGTCATCTCATCAAACTGGTACTGGTAGCCGTCGCAAGGCTCACAGGTCCAGCAGCATGGAGTTCCCTTCTGTGTCTTCTTTCTTTGCCCAGGCTTGCATGGCAGTGTGCACACTGAAGGGGGTATCTCCCGGACTCCTTTACCCCACTGCATGTCCTCTATCTGCAGCATAAGAAATGAGAAGGGGTAACTGGCAGATTAGTTCAGAGAAAAGGAAAAGAATGGAATATAAGTGATAGCAGAAGCATTTGAGACTTGACAACATTAAGGGACTACTCCCCCCACCCCCACAGTCAGTATGAACTACAACTAAGATTTGACCCCAACTATTCCACCCCGGAATTCTTACTTCTCACCACTATGGAGTATGCCAAACCTGCCTGATTCTAAGAATTCACTGTGGAAACTATTAAAAGAACAAATCCCCTGTTCCTACCCTAGATCTGCCAAATAAGAATATGCTAAAAATAAAAATAAGTAAAAAGACCTTTGGCTCTTCAACAAAAAAGACTCCCAGAGGAGTCTTATGATAAAACAAAATAAAAATCTTAAATAATGCAAAAAGTTACACACATCTCCCTTATTAGCTGCTTTTTAAAAAAATGTTTTAAAATTATTTTGAATGATATTGCAATGTTGACCACCTTCCCTAAAATTCTGTAGACATCACTGCCATTGTCAAAGAGAATTTTCAAGGAAAATTCAGTCTAGTCTATTATATAATCACACAGGATCAACAAGGTTCATTACTGAAGGCTATAATGGTAGTTGACTATATCTAAGTAATTAGGAGGCATTTGATTGAAAAAAAAAACAACTTTGGTCTAGAAACCTTTTTTTTTTTTTAAGATTTTATATATTTCTTTGACAGAAATAAAGAGGGAGAGAAACTGAGAGACAGTGCACAAGCAGGGGGAGCAGCAGGTAGGGGGAGAAGGAGAAGCAGGCTCCAGGCTCATCAGGGAGCCTGATCTGGGACTTGATCCCAGGACCCTAGGATCATGACCTGAGCTGAAGGCAGATGCTTCACTGACTGAGCCACCCAGGCATCCCCTGGAAATCCTTCAATATTGGTCATGTACCTATTTGGAGATGAAATTTAAAACTAAAACCTATATCCTAGAGGAGGATGAATGTGGATTTACTTAATCAGAATAGTGGTCTTCTGGAGGGGAATTCATAGTCAACAGTGTTCTGAGAAATAATACCATTAGAAACTAAAAAAGTACTACTGGGTTGAAATTTCATTGTAGCAGAGGTCTCTCATTTGCCAGCACAGCATCTGATCTTCCTCCTCCCTGACATCAGTTCCTCAGATCTATTTTCTATGTGCTTGCTATAAGATGCAACTTACAGGGAAGCCCTGTTGCAGGGGGTAGGAGGGAATGGGAGGTTTGCTCCCATGACCCAGTCTTCACCAATTTAGTGTACTGCACTGATTCTCAAGCTCAAGCATTCCTCAAGATCACTAGGAGGACTCTTTATCACCCAGTGGGCTGGGCTCCACAGCAGGATCTTTTGATTGTTTGGGTATGGGAGGGGGTCTGAGAGTATATATTTGTAACAAAATCTTAGGTAATATTGCTGGCGGTTCTCTAGGGACCACACTTTGTCAAAAGCAAATACATTTCAACCTCCTAGCCATGGAATATGGGTCAGGGACAGGATCATTATAGAATGGAAAGGAATTTAATTTTACTTTTACTAAGATAAATTAAAAAAAAAATATATATATATATATATATATTTTGTTGTTGTTGTTGTTGGACTGGCAGTTTCTAGGATGTAAAGATGCCAGTATTCATGGTTTTAAGAAGGAAGGAGTTTATAAGAGAAAGAAGTCAATGCAAAGGGAAGGATTACTGAAAAAGAGAAAGAGAGGAGAAAAATTACTGATTAGATTACATCAAGTTTGAACTACTTGATGTAGCCATGCCATGATTCCCTAGACCTCATCCCTATGCAAGCCAGTAAATTCTGCTATGCTGAAACATGTTAAGTGGCTTTTCTGTTACTCACAACCAACAGTCCTGAAAAACGTATGTACTAAATAAATACGTTGAGTATCTACTAGTTGCAAAAGCTGTGCTGAGTCAGCAAATTAATTTACAGAATAAATTCCAATGACCAAATTTAACTGATATCCCCCATAACTTTTTAATACAGTTGGGCCAAAAAATAGGTTAGAAAAATACTGGAAAACCTGAGGCTTTAAAAAATGCATAATTTTAAGAGATATGGGGGAAAGAAAATGAATTCATTGTTCTTAGAAGTTTAGTGTCATATTAAAACAGGATGTAATATACAGCAGGATATGACACTTCCATCAAAACTTGGATGAGAACTATATTCACAATCTAAATCAAATGCAGGTAACTATGAAAAAAATGGCTCATGGATAAATTTCATAAAATTTCATAAAATATTCCATAAAATATAAAATATTTAATAAAATACCATAAAATACCATAACCTTCTATGACTGTAAGCAGAGACCCAAGAATCTTCAGATGACTCGTGTAAACTCATTTGCCTTAATGCAAAGCCCAAGTCAGCACTAATAAATCTTACTAAATATAAAACATAATCATCTCTTTCTCAACATCATCATTTTTGAGGCAGTAAGTCACTGGCAACCATCCCAAAGTCATAAAATTAAAGAAATAATTTGTAATAAGAGAGAAAGAGATATGCATTAACTTTACAAATGTCAAGTTGCGGTAAGTTGGAATCTAAAAAACTGCTATCATTAATACAAATGTTCCCAAATGTCAAATTAAAAGGTCTTACTCGTGGTTAATAAGAAAGATTAAGCAAAAACAAACAAACAAAACAAAATAAAAACAAAACAAAAAACCCTCTATAAATAAATTTCATTAGCTAAACTTGAGATTGCCTGATTCTAACACTAGTAGATAGTAATACACCATATGATTACACTTGATCTATGGGAATAGAAGTAGGGCTTATACAAATATAAAAACAAATTATCATTATCTGTAATATTTTATAGCCAATTTTAAATGTTGCCAGCTCACTATTTTTCCCCACTTGGAATAAAATAAAATGCCCAGCAATGCTGAATAGCGCTCTTTTCCCCCTTAACTTATACAAATATACACAAGAGCTGAACTACAAACATTACATTGACTGATTACTTAATTTGTTTTCAATTTTCATTTAAAGTACATCTCAACTCAGTTTAATTGTATACATTACAGCAATAAAGTTGCCTTTTGCACCAAATGAACAAAAGTCTAATTTACTTGCTTTGCCAACAAAGATCATTATTGAAAATATACTGTGTTCAATGAAGGTACCAACTAACCTTTAAAAGTTCTAGTAAGTGAGAATTTTTTTTAAAGTGATACATTTGATTTGTGTGTATTTATACCCAATCACACAACTTCAGTGGCTTGTTTCAAGAAGAAAGAGTCAGCTGCAAACGCCCATGGGTACTTATTGAAGGGAGAATAATCATTTAGGACTATGACAACTCAAGTATAATGTCAATTTATTTTGCCAGAGGGTAGTAGGAATGCAAATTTCAATTTCATTTTGAATGCTGCAACAAAACCATGTTTCGGTTAGGCATACTTGGACAGCAAAAGTTAAGGTACTGAAAGATTAGAAAAAAAGGGCTAGGATGTTAACTACTATTTTCTTTAGAAGATACAGTTCTAAATTCTCTGTAAGAATGCATTTTCTTCTGGATGCCAGTTTGGATGGGTATTGGATACTGGATCTGCTCAGTAGCTGGCTCATGGGGAAGAGATGTTGAAATCCTAGCTGTTAGCAAGAGAAGAGACCCTTATTGACAGAACTATCAATTAACACCATGTGTGGCACAGGTATTATATGGATAGGTAGATCAATGATTTAGGAAAGAGACAATATAGAGTTCTAGCCAATGCAAGCAAAAATAAGCCTGATGTAGTGTCCTAGGAAAGTGTTCTTCACTCTTAAAAGAGACACAAAGAAGAGTTATACTGTCTTTAGCCTCTGAACTTTGATGTGTGCAAATGTAATGTATGGAGCTGCAGCGGCCATTTTTTAACCATAAAGAGAAAAGCTACGGGAAGAAGCCAGTATACTGAGGATAGGGGAAAAAATAGATAAAAAAGAATTTGTGTCTTTGATGTTGAAATAACTTCTAGGCCCAAAATGGAGCCACCCCTTCCCAGGTGACATGTCAGAAAACCAAACTTGAATAGGCTGTGTGTCCCTATAAACAGGTTTCACTTGACCAGACACAGAGTGTATCCAGTCAGCCGGTCCCCAAATGCCAAGCCAACTCTGAACCAACCCCAAAAGAGACTGACTATAGGGTCCCAGCCAATCAGGTATTTTCTGTTTGTCTTTTGTTTGTTTATTCTTTATCCTGTAAAAAGTTTTCTGTCTTCCACCCCATTTTGTGGTTCTCTGCAAGAAGACTGCCTAGTTCATGATGTGTTAAAATTAGTTTGTATCATGTAAATTGTCTTCATTAATCATTCTTTAACAGTGGCATGATGATATCACCGAATTAACAAATACATGTACCACTGTACCCCTGCATTTTGAACATGAAATGATAAACTTTCCTGAGTTGATGACCAATATTTCCCGAATAGTCTACTACTTGCAATGAAACATTGTAACAAATACACTTTTTCTTACTTCAGCATCTAGTATGTGAAGACCTTCTGACTGTAGGCAATTAGCCAATAATTCAAATTCCAACAGGGAGAGTAGATAGCCCCAGAAGGAAAAGGGATTTTCAAAGCACATATGATCAGACGCATGTGCCTTGTCTCTGGGGGATGCTCCTAAAAGAGAGTGGTACAGCCCTAGACTCTGACCATAAGCTGTGACTCCACTGCTTCTGGCTCAGAGAGAAACAATGAAAAAGCACCTGTCAGCTAAAGTTCTCTAGCACATGTGACTGGCAAAGATTGAGGTCTGGCTTTCGTAGAGAGTTAGCTGCTCCACAGGGAATGTGCAGACCTTATAATCACTGGAATTTTAAAATAAAACCAAATTAGTTGCTGTCTTACTGCCAAATGCAGAACTCAAACAGAGATAGAATTTTTATAAACACTGTTTGGTGTATCATTTTTATCTAGAAGAGATCTGTTCTTTTCCCTACATAGACATTTTCTATCTGAAAGAAAATTTTGTTA